CCCCTGGCCCATCCCCGCCCGCCTGCGGCGTCTGCGCAGGGCCAGGCCCGGTCCCAGGGTGCGGGGGCGCAGCTGGAGGTCGCGCCACCCCGGCCTTCGCTGCAGGGATGCCGCCCGGTGGCGAGCTCTGTCCGCGCCACCCCGCGGGGCCCCTCGCGTCCCTTACGCAGCGCGCCCTGGCCGGGGGCTGCGAGGGGGGGAGGAGAGGCAGGAAGTCGCCGCGGCCCCCGCCGGGAAGACGATGTGGGCAGGGGCTGCTCCGAGGAGGGCTCGGGACCGGGGTGACGGTCGGTCCTGGCCCGCCGAGCTCCGCAGGAAATCGGGAAGGGCCGGGGCGCGGGGCGCAGCGCAAGCCCCCCGGGGGAGGAAGCCGCGGCTCCAGCCCGAGGGTCACCGAAGAACCTGGGCCCGGGCAGGCGTCCCCCGGCCCTCCGACTCGCGCGCCCGTGCAGGCAGAGCCAGCCTGAGGCCAGCGCGGGTGGGCAGGACAGAGGCGCGGCGACGCTGACACCGGGCGGGGAGGCATGTGTGACTTAGTCCCCCGGCCTCAGCCTCTGGAGGGAACCCGGGGAGTGACGGTCTCCCCGTGGCCGTGGGGCGAGTGGCCCCGACCCCGCCCGTGCGTGCGCGATGCTGTGCGCAGAGGGACGTGGCCGAGGGCGAGGGCTGGCCTCTGCAGGTCACGGAGCACGGAGCATGGCCACCACCGTCCGCAGTGGCTCGGGAGGGAGGGCGGGGACTTCATTCATCTCCCGTCTGTCCCCAGCGGCTAATCTGCACAGACCAGCATCTCCGGGAAACCGGCCCCTCCGGGACGCGGGCTCAGTGTTTCCGAAGTCACGCGCTGTGTTACATTGTGTCGTTCTCCACCAGCCGCAGGGGCTCTAGACCAGGAGGCGTGACTAGCCTTGGGTTCTTCCCTGAGTGGAAACAAGCCTGCAGGAGACCGGCTCGAAACCTCCCACTGCCCCTGCCCGACTTGCAGGCCCGAGGCAGGCCGGGGTGTGGCACTGGCCCAGGGCCAGGGGAGGCCGAGGTCAGGACTCCGCATTGTTAGCAAATAATTCGGCGCGGTTGCCTGCCCGCGCACTGGCTTTTTCTGCGGGAAGGGCCATGTAACCTGTTACCAGATCTGGGGGAGGCTGTGGGGAAGATGACTCAACCTTTCAATTTATCTGCTTTTCAGAGAGTTCTCCTCATCGGGTGAGTGGGGAAGTCGCACCCCCGTTCTTGCAGGCTTTAAAAAGTCCCTTCTCCTTTTCAGTGAACTAGTGAAGCATGCACTCCCCCCAGTTAAATTATGTCACAGCTAAGACAGGGTCGGCCCAGTTCCCCAGGTAGTGCCGGGCCTTCTCTGCAGCCCCTGGAGGACGGAGTGACCGGGACTTGTTCACTTGCCCTTGACCGCATGGCGGCTGGGCTTGGGCCAGCGCAGGAAGCTTGCTCCTGCCTAGAACCGCTGCTTTCATTTAAGCATCGCGGGAGGAAAGAATCCTTTCATTGTTCACGGTTCAAGGACGCACCCCAGTGACTTGGCAAGTGTGGTACAAGCCCTCCTGCCTCCAGGCAGTTGCTCCTGAGCCTTGGATGTAGTAACAAATGGGGGGGTGGTCACCGGAAAAACTTTTTATTATTTCTTAAAGTTATTTCTTCATCTTGAGACGGTGGCAGGAATGAGGAAGTGGCTGTGGCAGCGAGGTGGGGGGATGCAGCTCGCACCAGGCCGGTGCCACCACTGGGGTTTTAGGACGTCAGGTCTGGGATGTTGGCCAGAGCTGCAGCTGGCTCGGGCCAGAGGAAAGGGGCTCATTAGACTCCTCCATCCTGACTCGGGCCCACAGCCAAGGCCCGGTTAACTGGTGGTGGAGCAGAGGTTCTTATTGGGTTTTAATTTGCTATGAAAGTGAGAAAGCGGGGAGGGGGCGCCCTTCTCCAGTCTCCCCTAGGGATGTTGGGCACGCTCTGCTCACACTCTGCATGTTTTTAGAGGCCACCAGGCCGGGACTCCTGCACTTGGCCACATGGGACCCTCCACCCTAATCACCCCGGCCCCATGTGAGCAGGGCTTCCTACCGCCCGGCTGGGGTTTTTGTGAGGGTCCAATGACTTCCTTGGCAAAGGGTCTTGCGGGCCCTG